AGGAGAGAGCCGCTACTTCCACTGCGCTCTTCTGCGTTTTCTTAATCACGAGAAAGTGCACATCAGCAGAAGCAAAAGTGAGTGTTCTCCTCTCCCCCAGATTTCGAAACAGAAAAAAAAATCCCCTATTATCACACAAATTGATCAATATTCATATTTGGGTGTGATTCCCTTTTCTTCCTCTCCTCCTCCTCCTCCTTCTTTTCTTCTTTTCCTCTTTCTCTGCACACACACACACACCCCACCACACACACACACACACACACACACACAACCCTCATGCAGTGCCGTAACTTCCAAGCCAGCACCCAATTGCACACGTGTAGGAGGCTCCAGTCTTTCACAGTTCCAATAATCCGGAGGTGAATGTTCTTTCCTGTGAATCTTTGTGTGACGCTCCAGCCACTTCATTGAATATTATGTGAAATTAAACCGTATTATTTTAAAACAAACTGAGGATGGTATTCTATCAAGGCTTCTGGTATATGTTACTCTCTCCAACAGCTAAAGGTGAAGTTGGAGGGGTGTGACCCATGCCAAGCTCCTGTGTGTGGTGCTGTCACCTCCCAGGAGCCCGGGGGCAGACCACTGGGCCCGGCTCTGTTGTCCCTCTCAGGTCTGTCAGGGCCTCTGAGCTGTCAGTCTGTCAGCAAAGCACCCCTAAGACGTCAGTTCTCAGAAAAGCTGGCTGTTCTCCTCTGACGTGTTTCCTGGTGTCTGCCAATCAGGGCATCTTGCCTCTTCCCATCCCTGGTCTTCCTGCTCTGACCCAGTGTGCCTCCATTGGCTCCATGCCCCACTCATCTGGGGCCATGGGAGAAACTCATCCAGAGAGGCAAATATTTCCCTCCCTCGACCTGTGTCCCCTGTGATGACTAGGGCTGACCGTAAACCTCTCTGGAATCCAGTGCTCGTGACAAGCCACATCTGTGTCTCCCTGGCCTCGGTGTCATGAATTTTATCATAAAAATGCAACTTATCAGGTACACATCCTCTGAAGAGGAGTGCCAGGCTCTCTCTGTTCCTTTGGTTCCCCCTAAGATCCGGGGGACGTGGGCCAAGGACAAAACAAACCCTCCATCTGCCCCCTACTCGCCTGGCCCCATGTGTGTGAGCCGAGACAGACATCAGCCTGAGGGTGGGGGGGGTGTTCTTCTCGAAAGGACCCTCTGTTCCCTCTGTCCCCACGCACTCAGCACGATCTCCTCTTTCCTTGACCCTGCCCTTGGCGGTGAGCACCAGTGTTTGACCCAATATCTCCCATCGGGGCCTCCAGAGCAGCTACTCTGAAAAAGGAGGTAAAGCAAGTACGATCTCCAGAACAGAGAGGATAGGCCTCTGTCTTTCAGCTTCAGCTAGGTGGAAAGATGAAATGGGACAGCTAGACTTCCCCCTGTCCATTTTGCAGCCTTTTTTCTGCTCACCAGTCCCCTCCCCTCCTCTCTCCTTCCTTTCTTCCTTCCACAAACATTTATTCAGCAAACTGTGCAAGTCGCTAATGCATCTTGAGCATGGATGTGTGCCAGGCACTGTGCTAAGTGCTTGACACACGTGTTTTAATTTGAATGTTATCACGGCCTCGTGAAGGCCCTCTGTCTCATGTGGCGAGGGCTGTGTGGCCTTATATGTATGTAGACTCTCTTCCAGGCCATGTAAAAGAAAGCATTAAAGGGACCCGTAAGACACGACCCCTGCCCTTCAGGGACCTCTGCTTGTCGAGCAGAGGGAGAGGGTGTCACATCTTCTCCAAGTGATGCTACAGGGAACCAGTGGCCACTAAGCTTGGTAGGCAGAATTCAAGTGGCTCTACTTGCCTTCCGTGTCCAACATTGACTCCCTGATCTGTCCTGCTTTTTCTTACCAAGCTACCTGTTCCCCATCTCCTCTCCTCATGCCTTCCCCCTCTCCCAAAGCCTCCCTTCCATCTCTTCCCCAGCCTTACACTCGTCATCCTGTTACTGTGGAAAGGATTGTGTGCACATACATCTCCGAGACAGTGACCATCATGTTGTGTTTTGTGCTTGGGCACAGGATATCAGATCATAATAAATTTGCTTCTTCATGACTTGTAATCTACAGGAGATGCAAGATTTAGACATGCAAATGAAAGGGCCACATGCATGTTTCCCAGACTATAGTAAAGAAACCAAACAAAAAAAACATGACCAAAGAGAGACACTGTATTCTATCATCTTATTTTAAGTATACAAATATCTTTTTTGAAAAGAAAAATACTTAGCAACATTATCTTGAGTGGCAGTGTTCCATGGAACACCATTTGGGAAATAATTAGTTTAACCAGAACTCAGAAAACTACAGAATTCAAGTCCATGTTTAATGAATCAGACAGCATGTGCTGTCAGGTTACTGGAATGGCTTGGGAGGACTTCTAGAAAGAAGGAGATCTAAGCTGAGCCTTCTAGCAACAGGGAAGGCTGATTGCTGATCAAACATCCCTCAAGTCTCCAGGGTCCAGCCCCATGAAAGTTTACTTCCAGTGGGGGTGAGTAGAGAAACTGCTCCACACAGTCTTTCAGGGATCAAGGCTCCTTCCCCGAATGGCTGAGCCAGTAAATAGGAGGAGAGACAGTGGGAACCCCCTCCCCTGGAGGTTTTTATAGCCTTGTCTGGAAATGACATACGTCCCTTCACTCAAACTTCATTGAGTAGAGGTTAGTCACATGATCACTACTAATTGCAAAAGAACCTAGGAAAAGTAGCTTAGCAATGCATTCCGGAAGAAAGAGGGAGACCAGAGCTTGGGGAGCATCAGCAGTCTCAGCCACACAGACCCAGACCCCAGGATTCCCTGTTCTGGCTTGCCTGGCACCTGCACTAGAGTCTAGGCTACAGACTAGTCCAGGCACCTGAACAAGGAGGCTTTCTGATGAAGAAATATCAACACAACTGTCCTTTGGCTTATATTTCTTATATTTCCTAATCCGAGTCTCAAACTGCATCTTAATTTTTCAAGGTGTGGGCATTGAGTTTTCCTATTCT